GTGGCTCTCAACCTTTCCAGGCTACTTATCCTTTCCAGGAGTCTGATTTGCCTTGCATACCCCCAATTTACACTTTTCTTAAAAACTACTTGCTTACACAGTCAGACATAAAAATACAAAAATGTCATGGCACTGTTATTGAAAAATTGTTTAGTTTCTCATTTTTAACATATAATCTATTAGAATATAAATATTGTGATGTGGCTCTCAACCTTTCCAGGCTACTTATCCTTTCCAGGAGTCTGATTTGCCTTGCATACCCCCAATTTACACTTTTCTTAAAAACTACTTGCTTACACAGTCAGACATAAAAATACAAAAATGTCATGGCACTGTTATTGAAAAATTGTTTAGTTTCTCATTTTTAACATATAATCTATTAGAATATAAATATTGTGATTTATTTCATCATACAGTATGTTGAACAATATAAAAAAGTCATAGTCTGTATGAAATCTGAGTTTGTACTCTCTTTGCCAGTGCTTCTTATGTAGCCTATTGTAAAACTAGGCAAATATCTACATGACTGAATGTTCCCTGTCAAAGACCTCTGTGTATTCCCAAGGGTTTGCGTACAGAACCACTGCCCTAGAAGCTCATGGAAACATATGCCACTTTTACTTTCAATACTTTTAGGGAATTGTTGCAATTACCATATAGCAATAAAACTTTTTAAAATATTATTTTGGGAGACAGGAAGAAGAGAGAAATCCAGATTTTCATCATGTTTGCTTTTGATCTTTCTTTTTCAGTTAAAATGAGTTCAGATTTTGAAAACTAAACTGGCATAAAAAGACAAAAGAAGCTAAAGTCTTGTTCAGAAAGTAGCTTTGAGGTAATTCAGTGGCAATGGCTAAAGATAAGAAGAAAGATGGCAAAAAAACAGAAAAGGTGGCACCTGCCCCTGCTCCTGAGACTTCATTTGAAGATAGTTTTTCCAAGCTGTCATGTGTCCAGACATCATTGAATCAAGCAGAGGAAGCACAAGCAAGCCCTTTAGAACCCCAAGAAGAACCAAAAGAGGTGGAAGAACCTAAGATCCAAGAAGCAGTTCAGATTTATGAAGAGCCTATTCTCACCCAACTGATTGTAGAAAAGTATGTTAAAATGTGTGAGTTTAGCTAAAAACACATCCACTACATCAGGATTTACTGTTTTACATTCCCATGGTTTGGTATTGTACAAAACAGACACTGCACATGGCTCCTGCCTTGTGGAGTATACCATCTAAAAGGCAGACAGACATCAGACATGAATGTACTGCAAAGCAGAAGGTAGCGGTAACTTAGAATGTGTGTGTATGCACAAAGCCTTTTAAGAACCATGGTGTGGTGGAACACTAGCAGATTGGCTGTGCAAGGGGTATTGGCATAAGTTACTGATGGCCTTAATACCCCATGATAACAGAGCTCATCATGGATGGAGGACTATACCATAGCCCTGTGTCCTGGCCTAGAATCTTGCCTCCCCATCCCATTCACTCTATAGGTACTTGCATAAAGCCTGATTCCTCTGGCTTTATTTGGGTAATGAGTTTCACTGTAAGTGTACATGCAGTTTTCTATATAAAGTGAATACACTAGTGTAATTACATAATATTTGGTTCTGCCTAACATTTAGGGTGAGCTAGTGAGGTACTTATTATGCATGGGGTTGCTCACTTCCTCCCAGTACTTTGGGCGTAAGAGGGGAGCATGCCTTTTGTTCCACCCAGTAGCCAGATACAGTGTATGCTTTCACCTCAATCCTTCCAGATGCTAACGATGAAATTTGGCTTTTGTCAGAAAGTAACAGTTATTATTTTTTAACTTCTTAGCCTCTGAAGATAGGACAAGAAGCAATGGGCTTAAATTGCAGCAAGGGAGGTTTAGGTTGAATAATAGGAAAAATTCCTGTTGGGATGGTTAAACACTGGAATAAATTGCCTAGGGAGTTTGTGGAATTCACAGCACTGGAGATATTTAAAAGCAGGTTAGACAGACACCTGTCAGGGATGGTCTAGACTCAATGACCTCTTGAGGTCCCTTCCAGTTCTATGATTCTATGAACTTTGGTTGTTTCCGGTTTACTTATAGTGATATGATTATTCCATCGTTTGTTTTCTTTGAAGCTATGAAGGAGAAAAAGTCCATGGATTATATGAAGGGGAAGGTGTGGCATATTTTCAGGGAGGAAATATATACAGAGTAAGTAGATCCGCATTCTGTTTACGGGTATGTCCATGGCAAGGCACTAAGGGTATGACTTCACAGTCTATGGCAGCAAGGCACCAAACCTGAGTGAAGAGAATCAGGCTTGGAGGCTTGTGCTATGGTACTAAAAATAGCTGCATAGATGTTGCTACTAGGCTCTGAAGCCTAGGGAGGGGGTTTTGCATGAGCTTCGGTGCCTGAGATGGAGCCTAAGCTTCAAGGTCTACACAGCTATTTTTAATGTGGTAGCAAAAGCCCTGGGAGCTTGAGTGTTTTGACCCAAATTTGGAGGCTTACTGCTACTTGCAGTGTAAATGTACCCAAAATGTAATGGGATAAATTCTTCACCTGGTAATGGACATACTACTACTTCACTGGGACCTGCACAGCTAAAATGTAAGTGTATTGAATAATGGATTCTGTAGTTTCTAATGGATGCTGATGTTCACATTTTTCTTAATTTGGTGCTGATAGAAGGGGTTTTATTACTTTTCCTTAAACTACCAATCGTTATAGATCTGAGTTATAATAAAGGAATAAAACAATAGCATGTGTTATTTTGAAGGGCATGTTTTCCGAAGGACTCATGCATGGACACGGGACTTATATATGGGCTGATGGAGTGAAGTATGAGGTAAAATGCAAAGTACATAATTTTAAAGTATTATTAGAGATTATTACAATATATATTATGCACATTGTAGGAAAGCACATGGGTTAGATAATTGTAGGTGGCAATAGCAAACTTATTATAACAGCTGTGAATTAAATCAACAGTGAGCTAACAAACTGTGCAACTAAGATCTTCTCCTTGGACTTGATTGCTGATAGGGCCCCTCCTTCAGGACAGCTTAGCCCCCACCCTAAATACTCTCTCCTGCAATCACTTATTCTCATCTGCCTTACATCCAGGAGGAATAATGAGCCATTTACTTTGGTGAATAATGAATTTATAATTTAATGTCTTAGGGGAACTTTGTTAAGAATGTGCAGATGTATAACGGCAGTTACACATGGCCTGATGGCAGCACGTATGAAGGAGAAGTGAAGAATGGAATCAGGCATGGCTTTGGCAAGTTCAAGTTTGGCACCCATCCAGTTTCATACATTGGCCAATGGTGTGAAGGCAAAAGACATGGAAAGGTAAATAAGAAAAGTACTGATTGAAGTGTCACCTGGACCAATGACAACTGAGATGAAAGTCAGTAGAGAGGACTAGCACAACTCACTTAAGTCTAATTTAAACTTTACAAGGGGGATATAAGTGAGACTCAACTAGTTCATAAACCTTGAATTATCCTAGTGAAATATCTTTGTACCATATGTTAATTAAAATGAATGTTCCTGCAGGGGTGGGGAGGATAAGTTATTAAAATAGGAGTGGGAAATAATTTTTGATGGGGCCACTCTAAGAATTTGGAAAGCAGTTGGGGACTGCACTCTTCCATGATATAAATGGAAGAGTTGCAGAGACCTGGGATGGAAGTTGGATGCAGGAGGGAGCTTGGAGTAAGGGAGGCAGTTGGGGTAAAGGAGGCAGTTGGGACCTGGAACACTGGACTGGGATGCAGGCGGTTGGATTGTGACCTAGGGCAAGGAATTGGGCTACAAGAGGGGGTGCAGGGATTTGGGTTATGAGCTAGGGCTGGAGGGGACTGTGATCTGGGGCAGGGGATTGGGGTGCCAGATCTGGGAGGGGATCTGGCATCCAGCTATGGGTGCGGGGGGGGGGAGGGGGTAGAGGATTTGGGTATGTGGAGTAAGGGGCAGGAACGGGGGACAGGAGATTGGGAAAGGGAGGAAACTTGCCAGCCAGCAGCCCATTCCTGAATCAGCCTCCCTGCCAGCCGGTGTTCCCTCTAAGGTGCTCAGCAGCACAGCTTCATAGGTGATTAATTAGCCCCACCCCATCAGTTAGCCCATGCGACTTGTCCACGATTTGTACTATACACTTGCAGGCTGCTGACTGGGACAGGGGGCAAAGGAGGCAGGCCCTGGTAATTTGAAAGGGTCCAGGACTCCGGCTGCTGCCACTACCGGGTGGCTCAGAGCAAAAACAATGCAACCTTGATTTTAAAATTGCCAGAGATGTAGTATACACCCCAACCTTGATAAATTGTTCCAGGGGTTAATTACTTTCACTGTTTAAAAATTCATGCCTTATTCCCGACTTAATTAAGTCACATCCATAGCAGAGTCAGGCCAGGACATGGAAGTCAAACCGCTTTAGTGACACTGATAAGTGATCTCCTTCTAACAACTGATAGAGGACTGATGTCTATTGTCATCCTCTTAGGCCTGTCTGCAGCAGCGAACAGACCATGAGGTACTTCTGTCTCATCTGGGAGAGTTGCAGGGGTCCAGAGTAATGTGCTGATATGGTTTCACACATACAAAATGGGAAGTGATTGTCTAGGAAGGAGTACTGCTGAAAGGGATTTAGGGGTCATAGTAGATGATAAGTTAAACATGGGTTACCAGTGTGCAACTGTTGCAAAAAAAGCAAACATGATTCTGAGATGCATAAATAGGAGTATTGTCAACAAGACATGAGAAGTCATTCTTCCGCTCTACTCTGCGCTGATTAGGCCTCAATTGGAGTAGTGTGTCCAGTTCTGGGCACCACATTTCAAGAAAGATGGGGAGAAATTGGAGAAGGTCCAGAGAAGAGCAATTACAGGTCTAGAAAACATGAGCTATGAGGGAAGACTGAAAGAACTGGGCTTGTTTAGTTTAAAAAAGAGAAGACTGAGAGGGACATTATAGTGGTTTTCAAGTATCTAAAAGGGTGTTACAAGGAGGAGGGAGAAAAATTGTTCTCCTTGTCTTCTGAGGATAGGATAAGAAGCAATGGGCTTAAATTGCAGCAAGAGAGGTTTAGGTTGGACATCAGGAAAAACTTCCTGCCTATCAGGGTGGTTAAACACTGGAATAAATTGCCTTCGGAGTTGTGGAATCCCCATCTCTGGAGATATTTAAGAGCAGGTTAGACAGACACCTGTCAGGCATGATCTAGACAGTGCTTGGTCCTGCTGTGAGAGCAGGGGACTGGACTTGATGGCCTCTTGAGGTTCCTTCTAGTTCTAGTGTTCTATGATTCTATGGTTTGACACCTTCTCGGAGGACTCGAACTGTGTAGCATTGAGGAAACTGCATCTCCACCACCAGTCCTCTCACTTGTGGAGTCCCAGAAGGATTTCTTTCTCTCCAGTCCTTTTCAACATCTACATGCAATTGCTAGGTGAACTGGTTGGATGACAGGAACTCAAGTGCCAGCAATATCTAGATGACATACAGCTCCACCTATTCACTACCTAAAAGTACAGCACTGACACCAAGATGGCAAGTACTTGGTTGAACAAGATCAACCAATGAAGAATAGCCAGCTGAAGCTGAACCCAGGCAAGATGGAGGTGATGCTAGTGGGCAGAGATGTAAACTTTTTTGGTTGAAGATGCACACCCACAAATAGTCAATTTGATGTGTAGTCTATGAATACGCTTGGATTCCTTACTGATGCTGGACACTCACATAAGAACAGGAGTGGCCCGAGGCCAGCTGCAGCAGCTGGTGCCCTAGGCGGAAGGCGTGATCGGCATCCCCACCTGCATGGCCGTCAATGGCCGTGATGTCATCATCAGGCACCCAGGCCCGTGGCACCCTAGGCAACTGCCTAGTTTGCCTAGGTCCATGGGCCACCACTGTGTAGCAACATCTGCAAGTAATGCTTTCTATCATCTCCACTTGGCTAGGAAATTCCATCCCAATGATTCCAGATGATGACCTGACCTCACTTCTCAGCTGGATTATAGCAGAGTGATAAACCTGATCATGCCACTTTCCTCACCTAGTAAGAACCACACAGTGTGTCTCCTCCACAACACAGGTCGCTACAATCACCTCAGACCTGTTCTCCACATTCTATGCTGGCTACCTACAGAATTTTGAATCAAGTTTAAGGTCTTGGTCTTTATCTTGAAGGTGATCCATGGCCTGCGCCCAGGATATTTAAAAGAAGTCCTAATGCTCTGGGATGCAGACCATGGTCTCTTCTAGTACTGCGGGACTCTTTGCAGTAGGAGCAGAGCTTGTGTGTATGGTAGACAGAACTTTCTTGGCAACTGTGGAATGATTCTCCCAACCCCAGGAAGTAAGGAAAATCATAAACATGGCTATCTTTTCTCTCCAACTATATGGCATGTTTCTTTGATCTTTCCTTCTCTGAGACTACATCTACACTATGGGGGTTTTATCCCAAAAAAACTCTGCTGCGTTCAAGGAATGCGTCTGCTCTTCCGCTTTTTTTTGTGGAAAAGCAGACTCGCTCTTTTAGAAGCCCTGTCTTCCTCATTCCACAAGGAAGAAGGGGGTCTTCTGCAAGAGGAGCTTTTTCTGAAATTTGGCCCAGTGTAGATGGGCCAAATTTTGGAAAAGCCTCTTCCAAAAAAAACAATCGGAAAAAGGTACACAAATTGCGGAGCTCTCAATTTGTGTACCTTTTTCCAATAAATCATTGTAGTCTAGACATAACCCGACATGAGCCATAGCAACACATATTTTAAAAAAATACTTACCGAACGAAAACACTTTACTACAAATACTTTTCCTTCACGTGGGGAGAAGATAAGAGAACATACACATGACCAATGTCATTCATGTCATTTGCTGCATTACTGAAAGTTGCTCATATCGTGTGGTGATAAGGGCAATATAAGACCCTATGTAGACTAGAATAGATTGGTGAAAGCATTTCCAGTCACCTAGCATTGTTTGGCTAAATGTAATTTTTAACATTTTTGAACACTTAAATGCTTGGTCTTGCTTAGCATGTAGCTAATTAATGTTGGTCAAAATAACAGGATTTAATTTTTTTAACATTTTAGATTCTCAGTTGCTTTTAACTTAAATTGAATCTGTTTTTTTTCTTAGTGACTGCTGAGAGAATGTTTGAATACATGTGGTAATTGATATATTTGCATATACGGGGTGAATATAACTTTGTATTGGGGGTTAGAATTAAATTAATAATAATAATAGCTCTTGACACGCGTGGGTAGTGGGTAGTATACTATCACAAAATTTGACCTTTTTTAATAAAAGAGAAAAAACAGGCCTTTTATTTCAAACTCAAGCTTTTCCTTTCTTAATCCAATCTCTAATTTTTGGGGTGGGCTGAAGCTCACCCAAGTTCCCACTTTTCTGTATCCATGGGACATCATGTTACCTGAAAGCATTTATGTGAATATTTAGGTATTGAGTAATTGAACAGATTTTATTCTTTGTTTTAGGGTAACATTTATTATAACCAGGAAGGTACTTCCTGGTATGAAGGTGACTTGGTAAACAACGTCAAAGATGGCTGGGGGATAAGATGGTAAGTATAACAACACATTTGTTCAGCACATCTTCAGAATTGATTTATTTTTATTTGGCATGCCCAATCCTTTTTTTCCACGTACAGAGCCTGATAGTCTACTGCCTTGCAGTTTGCATGGTCATTCAGAGTTATACAAAAAGGTGAAAATGGCACCAACCCCCTTTGCTGAGTGGAGCTGAAAGCCATTCTGGGCCCCTTTGCAATGTGGAGGGGGGTGGCTCTGTGCTCCGGGAAGAGTCAGGGTCTCAGGCAGAAGGGGTGGGGCTGGGGACAGCCAGCTCTCAGAACCACCTGGAGCGCATCATGCTGCCTGCCCCCAGCCCTTAGAACTGCCCAGAGCACGCAGTGCAGCACTCTGGTGGCAATTTAAAGGCCCTGGGGCTTCAGGAATTGCAATTGCTGCCAAGTCCTTTAGAATCATCAGTTCCTGGGACAGCTGCCCCCCCACCTGTTGGCAGGACTGATCATACCATTCTTTGCACAGGAGTAAAGACTAAACAAAGTGTAAGAACAGTGAAGAAGACTGTGTAGCAACATCTGCAAGTAATGCTTTCTATCATCTCCACTTGGCTAGGAAATTCCATCCCAATGATTCCAGATGATGACCTGACCTCACTTCTCAGCTGGATTATAGCAGAGTGATAAACCTGATCATGCCACTTTCCTCACCTAGTAAGAACCACACAGTGTGTCTCCTCCACAACACAGGTCGCTACAATCACCTCAGACCTGTTCTCCACATTCTATGCTGGCTACCTACAGAATTTTGAATCAAGTTTAAGGTCTTGGTCTTTATCTTGAAGGTGATCCATGGCCTGCGCCCAGGATATTTAAAAGAAGTCCTAATGCTCTGGGATGCAGACCATGGTCTCTTCTAGTACTGCGGGACTCTTTGCAGTAGGAGCAGAGCTTGTGTGTATGGTAGACAGAACTTTCTTGGCAACTGTGGAATGATTCTCCCAACCCCAGGAAGTAAGGAAAATCATAAACATGGCTATCTTTTCTCTCCAACTATATGGCATGTTTCTTTGATCTTTCCTTCTCTGAGACTACATCTACACTATGGGGGTTTTATCCCAAAAAAACTCTGCTGCGTTCAAGGAATGCGTCTGCTCTTCCGCTTTTTTTTGTGGAAAAGCAGACTCGCTCTTTTAGAAGCCCTGTCTTCCTCATTCCACAAGGAAGAAGGGGGTCTTCTGCAAGAGGAGCTTTTTCTGAAATTTGGCCCAGTGTAGATGGGCCAAATTTTGGAAAAGCCTCTTCCAAAAAAAACAATCGGAAAAAGGTACACAAATTGCGGAGCTCTCAATTTGTGTACCTTTTTCCAATAAATCATTGTAGTCTAGACATAACCCGACATGAGCCATAGCAACACATATTTTAAAAAAATACTTACCGAACGAAAACACTTTACTACAAATACTTTTCCTTCACGTGGGGAGAAGATAAGAGAACATACACATGACCAATGTCATTCATGTCATTTGCTGCATTACTGAAAGTTGCTCATATCGTGTGGTGATAAGGGCAATATAAGACCCTATGTAGACTAGAATAGATTGGTGAAAGCATTTCCAGTCACCTAGCATTGTTTGGCTAAATGTAATTTTTAACATTTTTGAACACTTAAATGCTTGGTCTTGCTTAGCATGTAGCTAATTAATGTTGGTCAAAATAACAGGATTTAATTTTTTTAACATTTTAGATTCTCAGTTGCTTTTAACTTAAATTGAATCTGTTTTTTTTCTTAGTGACTGCTGAGAGAATGTTTGAATACATGTGGTAATTGATATATTTGCATATACGGGGTGAATATAACTTTGTATTGGGGGTTAGAATTAAATTAATAATAATAATAGCTCTTGACACGCGTGGGTAGTGGGTAGTATACTATCACAAAATTTGACCTTTTTTAATAAAAGAGAAAAAACAGGCCTTTTATTTCAAACTCAAGCTTTTCCTTTCTTAATCCAATCTCTAATTTTTGGGGTGGGCTGAAGCTCACCCAAGTTCCCACTTTTCTGTATCCATGGGACATCATGTTACCTGAAAGCATTTATGTGAATATTTAGGTATTGAGTAATTGAACAGATTTTATTCTTTGTTTTAGGGTAACATTTATTATAACCAGGAAGGTACTTCCTGGTATGAAGGTGACTTGGTAAACAACGTCAAAGATGGCTGGGGGATAAGATGGTAAGTATAACAACACATTTGTTCAGCACATCTTCAGAATTGATTTATTTTTATTTGGCATGCCCAATCCTTTTTTTCCACGTACAGAGCCTGATAGTCTACTGCCTTGCAGTTTGCATGGTCATTCAGAGTTATACAAAAAGGTGAAAATGGCACCAACCCCCTTTGCTGAGTGGAGCTGAAAGCCATTCTGGGCCCCTTTGCAATGTGGAGGGGGGTGGCTCTGTGCTCCGGGAAGAGTCAGGGTCTCAGGCAGAAGGGGTGGGGCTGGGGACAGCCAGCTCTCAGAACCACCTGGAGCGCATCATGCTGCCTGCCCCCAGCCCTTAGAACTGCCCAGAGCACGCAGTGCAGCACTCTGGTGGCAATTTAAAGGCCCTGGGGCTTCAGGAATTGCAATTGCTGCCAAGTCCTTTAGAATCATCAGTTCCTGGGACAGCTGCCCCCCCACCTGTTGGCAGGACTGATCATACCATTCTTTGCACAGGAGTAAAGACTAAACAAAGTGTAAGAACAGTGAAGAAGAAGGCCTGTTATATGGCTTTAATTTTTACTTGGGTCAGCCTTTTTCTTCTTCAGTCTTACAAAGAAAACAGTTAAAGATAAAACAATCAGAGACTGGCAGCAGTAAACTGTAAAACATCTCTTTAAAAGAATTCTTCTCGATTGCACAGTAACCCCCTGTCACAAACAGGGGTGTGTGATTTTCCATGAGAGTTTATTTTGGTTGATTGTTTATGGCACGTTTGCCTCAGACAGATTTTAGATGTTTGGTAATATCTTCTGAAGTGTGACAAAATGTGACATCTTTATGCACTGATGTCAGACTTTACCTCATAAATGCCATGGATAAATGGTTAATTGGAGGAGTTTGTCAGCAATGTTTTCAGTTTTTACATATGTACTCTGTCAACTGATCCATAGCACAGCCTTCAAAACCTATTGGACAGCTTCTCTAATTACAGACCATGGTTTGGTTTGTCAACACATGCCAGCGAAGTGGGATGTCAGTGCCTATTTGTTTGTTGTTGTCGGACTTCAAAAGATACACCCTCGAGACAAGGACATTAAATTACAATTACAATTACCATGACCACCAGCTCCTCCCCAGCACTAAACATAAGTTTATCTAGTAATTACAATTAAAAAACAATCGTTATATCCTTTTGCTTACTTATTTCATAATACTAATTTTAAAAATTAAAACAAAATAGTAAGACTCTATATCTGCCTTAGAATCAGCTTTAGACACAATATTCTGGCTGGTGCACCTTTACCAATGGCAAGGTAGAAGTTCTTTCTGCTTTCAGAAAGTGTGGCTGGAAAAGAACACTGAGGCATATTACTTTGCATAAAGCTACATGTTAGCTGCATGGCTACATGGGGCTCTGGAGAAGGGATAAGGGTGTCAATGGCTGCTTCCCAGAGCCAGCCTGGGGTGGCAGGGAATGCATGGCTCATTCAACAGCTTCTTTCCAGGAGAGTGTGGGGGCTACATGCCCTGGCTGCTCCCCAGTGGTGGCCAGGTTAGTGGGGGCTGTACTTCCAGCAGCTGCTCCCTATGGTCATTCTGTGGCATAACTGTCCTTGCTATCACGTTGCTCCCTTTCCATATGATGAGAGACATTTGCATTCCATGCACATCCCACTGTCATGGTGCAACCAAACCCTGACTTTGCTTTAAGTTATGATAAAAGGAAGCTGCATACCAAATTTGGTGGCCCTAGCTCTTACTGTTTAGGAGGAGTTCTTGAACAAATGGATTCATGGACAGATGCACACACAGACAGATGCACAAACTCTCTCAAATCTACAGTAGATTGTGTTATATTATTATTATTATTATTATTATTTATTATTATTATTTTATTAAGTATAGTCAATTGTGAATGTTTTCCTTTAGGTAATCTATGCTGCAATAATAAACAAAGGAAAAATCAGAATGTAGTAGTCAACATTGAAAATCTATCCCAATAGTACTGTTTTTTCCTTGCAACAGCATATTACTCTTGTTATAAGTCAGCTGGATTTAGGCACCTAGCTGCCATTTGTAGAGTTGAAAACCTCACCTATTATTGTTTGTGTGTGCATGATAGCTGAGTATAACTTCCTTGTTTATTTGGTTTCTTGTAGTTATAAATCTGGAAATATCTATGAAGGTCAATGGGGAAAAAATGTGCGCCACGGGGAAGGAAGGATGAGGTGGCTAACAACTAACCAGGAGTACACTGGGAAGTGGGTAAATGGAATCCAGGTATTACACCACTGTAATTCATACCTGACTCTTACACTGGTAAGATTAGATACCTCAATTCATACAGGAGTAAAGAAGCTCCCCATGATTCTGTCAATTCTGTTCTTACAGGTGTGTGTTTTACTCATAAATTGACTTGCATGTTATTTGTTATAACTAGCAAAAGTCCAATTTTAAACTAAGCCGCTCACTTTTTTTATGAAAAGAGAAATTAATTTTACACACCAGCCAAAGGAAAATATAAATCTGTCCCATAATAAAAATTAAATCTCTTTGGCTGCAGCGTGTATGGAGAGGGCCTCTGAAGGGTGTGTGGAGGGGCCTTACCCAGTCCAGCATTGAACCTTGCCACTACCTCAGTTCCACCTTCTTGGGTTTCCCTAAAACTGCACCCAGCCATTCACATGTCAGGTAAGACCCCTTCTTGGGGTCTAGTAAACATCGTAGTTAAAATATCAATTTAAATCAAAACAGATGTTTCCCTGACTCTGTGTTTTCTTAGGCTGAGTTCAACAGTTCTTTCCCAAAACCCAGCTTGTGCTGCTTGATGTTTCCTCAGATCTCTTCTTGGGGAGGCTTCTGCTCCTATTTCTCCATTTTCCTTGTGAAGAGAGCTCTCTGCTAAGGCTACGTCTCTGCTTGCCAGAGGATCGACGCTCTGGCAATAGATCCACAGGGTTCAATATAGCAGGTCTAGTAAAGACCCACTAAATCAAATGCTGAGGGCACCTACATCAGCGCTGGTACTCCTTGTTGTCACAAGGAGTAAGGGAAGTCAACAGGGGCATTTCTCCCATTGACCTCCTGCTGTGTTGCCGCCCTAGGAAGTCGGTGCAAGTAGCTTGAGTTGCATATCTTGCATCGGTTTTCTCTGCCAGTGTAGACCTGGACTAAGTCTTTTCCTATGACCTGGTCCTTTTTCCACTTCCTACAAGTTTCCCTTCCTTCCTGAAGTGAGCTGAGCAAACTCCCTTTTATCAGTCTGAAAGCCATGGAAGCAGACTGGGGTCGGTGGAAAACTCCATTAGATTCCCCTCAATAGATCGCCTCATAACTGCTTCCTTTTCACTCCCTCATAAAATGGGCAGGGAGTTTGACCTCCAGAGCCATTCAAATCTCCTAAAAACTGGTTCTGGCACATACGCCATGGAATGGCATCTTTAAACTGTGGCCCACTCTCTATAGGATACCAGCCAGTGAAAGCTGCCCGGAGGAGCGTTGAATTAGTTCATCCCCTGAGTGCTGCTACCAGACCTCCTGGTGGGTTTTGTGCTCTGAGTTACCCAGTAGGGGTTAAGATAACCTGAGGCTAAATCAAGCTCATTTAATTGAATTAGCGACAGTCACCCCAAACCAAAACAAAATACAAGGTTCAGGTATTTCCATTCCTCTGTATGAATTTGGATCTGCACCAGCAGTGGCTCTTTGAAAAGTTCTTGTAATGGCTTGTTTTTTTCCAGCATGGGTATGGTACCCACACTTGGTTTCTGAAGAGAATACCTGAGTCTCAGTATCCTTTGAGGAATGAATATGTAGGGGATTTTGTAAATGGGGATCGTCATGGACATGGAAGGTTCTTCTATTCCAGTGGAGCAATGTATGATGGAGAATGGGTTTGCAATAAAAAACATGGTTTTGTAAGTATCAACGTTATGAAATAAAAGATAAAAATGCCACTAGAGGCTCATTCTGCTTTATGTAGCAAATGTCTAGGTTTTTGTAAGGAAAATTGCATTCATTTTCCTTAGTGTATTTGAATGAGCACATTGATTCCACAGCCACTGAATTTAATAGGGGTCCTTCTGCTGATCTCTCTTGGCACCGGATAAGGTCCAAGTGGAGGAACTTGGTTTGGTTATGGTGAAATGAAAGCTGTATGTTAAAATACAAGTGCAATAGATGTGTCCGATGTTTTCAGCCTTTTGGCAGATAAATGATCATTGGCTTGTGGCTAACATCACTTTTAATGTCTGATGCACCTTCTCACAGGGGACTCCATACTGCCCTTGTACAGGAGTGAACTTCAGGTAATAGGTCGTTTGCATCTCTAGCAGTGGTGATCACGAAGGAAATAGATCTGGGGACGGATTGTTAAAGTGTTTTGAAAAGCTGTAAATTATTTTAATCAGAATGAAAAGATCCTTATTCCTCAAATGTCTTAGATTAGCACTTTATACAAATAGCACTTTATACATATAGCACAGTAGCAGATTTTCATTGGTTTATCTTAAAGTACTTTACACAGGCAGAGAAGAATCATTCTTTGCTTTGCACTCTCTCATATATTGCAGTTTAAACCTGATTTAGAGCAGAAGGAAATTCAGCTGTTTGCAAACATGTTTATTTTCTAATGATTGTTTACTAACTCTGCAAATTTACATAAAAATGAAACCAGAGAACCTCTCACTCCCCCCACTTTTCCTTCCCTGCTAGGGGAGATTTGTCTTCAAGAATGGACATATTTATGAAGGAGAGTTTATAAATGATCAAATAGCAGAGTATCCAGCTTTTCAAGTGGATGCAATGAATACTCAGGATCTGAGTGGCATTCGCACACAAAGTCCCTTTGGCACCGGTGAGCAGTTTGAATTGAGGATGTGGAAAGAAGATAATTTCTAGTCAGTGTTATAAAAAAATACGTATTTATTGTGTGAGACTATTCTGTATTCACTGATTTAGCAATAAATTTCCATAAATCAGCATTTCCCTATGAAGGTTCAGTGATAGATAAATGAGCAATTTTAATTACTAATGCAAGGTTTCACAGGAAGTTGCAGTTTTAAATTGTAATGTGCTCATAAAAGACTTTCAATTTAATATAATAAATAGCAACTGATTTCCTGTTTCTTTAGTGTCTCTACATTCCTTTGTACACGCAGTCCCCGACTTACGCGGATCCGACTTATGTCAGATCCGCACTTACGAACAGGGCTTTTCTCACCCCGGAGCTCATGGGCGGCGGGTCGCCACCCATGTCCTCCGGGGCGAGAAAAGCTTCTCCCGGTATCCCTGGTCTGCTGGGGGGTCCAGCAAAGCCTCTGGACCCCCCCCAGCAGACCAGGGACACCCGAGCAAAGCCGCCGCCTGGGCGGCTTTGCTCGTTTGCCCGGGAGCAAAGCCGCCCAGGCAGTGGGACCCCCGCCGCCTGGGCGGCTTTGCTCCTGTCCCCCTGGTCTGCTGGGGGGGTCCAGCAAAGCCGCTGGACCCC